ACCTGTACATGCTTAGGAGAAGAGTAGAACTACCCAAGAGCAAGGGAACTCAAAATTGGTCTTTTGGAAATTGGAAACTGCATTGCAGTTTTCATTTAATTACAATTTGATTTTTGTTCTTTCCTTAGCCTTCAACCTAGATGAGGAATTGGATGGGCAAGAGAATAGTAGAACTACCCAAGAGCAAAGGAACTCAAAATTGGACTTTTGGAAACTGGAAACTGCATTGCAGTTTTCATTTAATTGCAATTATTTTTGTAGCTGTTTTTGTTTTTGTTTTTTTTAAAAACATAATTGATATCTACATTGTATTTTTGTTGCAGTTTCTGTTTTTATTTGCACTTTTTGTGTGAACAAGTGTTGAAATGTTTTTTTTTTATTTTAAAATTTTTAAAACCGTTGATTGTTTATATAAATGCTCTATAACTGAATAAATATTACAAAATCAAGTTTGGTGTAGTGGTTTGTGAGTGAGCCTTCCTCCTTTGAGGGTCAAGGTTCAAGTCCATTCAATGACACAAAATCTTTTTTTTTTAAAGGTGAATAAAGGCAACGGAGTTGGTCCCTTGTAGACGGTGGCAGGCCGGTGACGTGCGATGGTGGTGGCAGGTGGCTGGCGGCGGAATTCCGGCGGTGGTGGGCGGCCGCAGAATTCCAGTGGTGTTGGTCGACAGCAGAATTCCGGTGGTGGCCGGCGGCGGGATTCCGGCAGTGGTGGCTGGCGGCAGGGGGGCGGCGGTGGGATTCCGGCGGTGGTAGCCAGCGGCAGGTGGGCGGTGGTGGTTAGCTAGATATGGACATGTGGCATAATATGCTTACCTTAGAAGGAGTGGCATTGTGTGTAATTTTGATATTTTTTAGTGATATTTTTGTAAAATTAGGTGCCACATTTGGTCTTTGGCCTTATGCTAATTAGATGAAATTGTATTCTTATCTTCCAAATTAGTAAACTATATTGTGTTTTAAAACTAAAGCTCCCTAAACTATTCTAATCAATTTAATTAGACTTAATCAATTAAGTCACAACCTTGTGGTAGAACTTGACCTGAATTCCCCCTCGGAATCCGTATCAAACCCTGTTACCGGCACTGTAGTGGTACTGTTTGCTACAGTAACAAATTTCAAAATTCCCTTTTTATCCTTTTCTTTCTAGACCTTTACACAGTCATTACAACTCGGAATTGAGCATGCCGCTGTCTACGAACTTGTATCGACGAGCTCCGCGCAATGGTGCCACTCTTTTCCCCAAAATTCTTCCATAGCAAAAATTGACTAAAGTGCCCCTACCACCCAAGGGCAAAAGTGTAATTTCACAAATAGATAAATTGAATAAAATGATTAAATTGGGTCGGGGGTGTTACACTTGTGTTACAAGCATTGGTCCTGGTCAATCCTTGTTGACCATGTCAAGTGCCGGGTCAACAGTTGACCTTTGACTTTGACTTTCACCAAGGCGTAAAATCTTTCTCTCTTTTATTTCTCAATCCATTCCTTTTGTGGTGTGCGATTTTTTAGGTTCTAACTGACAAGAGTGGATAAGTCTGATTCTTCTAAATCAAGCATGAATTGAATCCTATAATTCAATTCTCCGTATTGGTGAAGACTAATTGTAATTAGACTTTACATGGGTTTCACAAACCATGAGTGACACCTATCAGTATGTCATGGCTACTGAAGCTAAATAGAATTTCATTGAAGAACCTATTCAGTTGAAATTACAATGCAATTCGGTCCTTCTTTAAACAATACTCTATGTCATACTATTGGGATACATATAACTTGTGTCAAATCCCTAATACCATTTTTCTAGATTGCAAACTTCATTTTTCAAATTCATCCAATACTTGTTTGTGCCTAATAAATCACGGTCATAAACTGACTGAAGGGATTCCCTCTCGGCCCTAGCACCTACCGTTTCGTTAGGCATTTCGTCTTCCTGAAAACAAAAGAAAAGCTGCTAAGGCAAAATCCTCTCGGCCTCGTGACCGCGGTATTATAGGCCGAAGCCGAAGGCCGTAAAAGGCACGACCAAAGATACTGTGGTTAAATCGCCACGTGGCCTCAGGGTCCCACGCCCCATTTAATGAAGTAATGCCTCTAACTATCGCAGCAAACCCACTAGTCGCAAGAAGCATTTAATGCACGAGGGAAGAAAGGAAGTGATTGAAGTCAGGATTTGGTGATGGAAATCAGAGTGGTTAGGCGCCAACATTCTCACAGGTAATGTTACAACTTGAGGTCAGATCACCAACCACCAGACCAGGGCATTAAATGCGTCCCCACGGCCAAGGGGGCAGAACCCACGATCAGGGCGGTGGCCGAGATTTACCTGGATTTACGGGGGTCACACTGCCATGCTTCACGATCCCAAATGCCGATTTAACTACCCACTTGTCCCGATCAGGCTCCACCACGCAGGTCTTTTCAGCCTCGATTGTCCCTCCAGGACTCCTCCTATAAATACTAAGCTCATGACTACATTCAAAAGGTTCAAACACCAAACCAAAAGCCTCCCACGGAGCAAATTATATTTTCCTGTAATGCACTTTCAATACCTTTATTTGCTTTCCTAGGAGTAGTGCTAGATTGTAAGGAAAATCCATTCATCAATATATCATACGACCTTTGATTTTCAAGGCGCCGGAGCACCATCTTTGTTATCATCTCATTCACCCCATATATCATACGACCATCGCTCTCCGAGCAACGCGCCGCAGCACCGCCTAAAACCCGCCACCAACACCACCACTAAACGGCCTTGTAGCTCAAGCCGTGAACCTGACGGCCGAGATCAGTTCCTCTCTCGACCACAATCATTTGATTAGGAGTCGAACTCAAAACAGGCGCATCATTTAACCATCTTCCACCCAAACCTCATCACCATCTCGACGCACGGTAGACCGTGCTGGCACGCCCGCGCACAACCGCACCGCATCCAAAAGAAGGACGTCACGTGTTAACGCACATCCCCTCGGCTCGGAGCACCAGGCTGTGAGATTTGCGCAGCCAACAATACTTTGGGTTTAGAGAGAGAGAGAGAGAGAGAGAGAGAGAGAGGAGGATGAGTGGCCTCCTCTTCCCTTCGGAAACACACAGTGCCTCTTAGAAAGAGATGATAGAGAGAAATGTATTAGGGTTTATATTATTCTACTATATATCCTCTTTATTTGGTTCATTTAGAACATGGCTTTGCATCTCAACCATGATAACTTTCTGACCAAGAAACTTTTGCATTTTCCAAGCATTCATATTCATGTGCATGGCCCATTGGATTAACTATAACTAATTATTATTACTATTTTGATACAATAAAAAAAAAAAGCTATAAAAATTTATTAGATGAAACGGACAAAAAGAATACATTTGCAAAAATTAAATTTGACATTGCAAGATTTTGTAGTTGATGGCGCAATGTGTAATAAAGGGGTTTAAAAGTGCAATTAACACTTACTGAGATGCTATCAACTATCTGTCCTTTCAACTAAAGAATTACGTACTCTTACTCTACAGAGAGATTAAATCACCCCCTAAATGTATTTGTCTCTCGACTGACTTGTCAAGCAAGTGGTGGCCCTGAAAGATACTTGTAGATGAGTTAAATATATATTCAAGGTTTATGCATGTGTTTGTTTTAGTAGGTGAGGAAGAAAATGAAACCAAAGGAAAAAAGGGAGTTTATAAACTTATACAACTTTGATTTTATTTGAGAGGTCACCGCCTAAGTTGACGTGCATTGTCGTGTATGGGATTGGGATTCTTATCCCTTAATATATATATATATATATATATACACACACACATAAACATATTTATATAAATAGAATAATATTTTCCATAGTCAGTATACGTAATACAAACAGTTAATGTTTTACAGCTATGTGCAGAGAAGAACATGAAATCGTTTTCATACCCATTATTGGACTAGTCAAACCAAAAATCCAAAACTTTGAGCTCGTGATAGTCTGTCTATTACATCCCCAGTTACATTCTGCATTATATAATTCTTGCGCTTTCATAAAAATGTAGTATACAATTTCTAACTGAGGCGGGTACGGGAGGTGGTATGTGCTTGGTCTAAAATTAAACTAAAAAATGTTTCGGATTGAGGCGGGTACGTGCCCTTTTCAGGTTTCATATAAAATAATTGATAATCACTTGAGCTACAAATTATCGATGTATAAGATATTCTTTTATCGAAAAATAAAGAGGCGGGCGACTTTATTGCGACTCTTTACCCATCAATTTTTAATTAGGTGTAGTAATTAGGCTTTTTCGATGTAAGACACGGAACCAAGCAATAATTCAAATCATCTTTTCAACTTTACAAATAAATGAAGTCTGATAGTTGAAAGTACAACTTATCTAGGGTCTCTTTAATAATCTCGTGTGTTAAGTATTGTACACGCGGCAGCAAAATGAGCATGCACAAATTAAGGACAAGATTGTAATATATTTTAGCTCGAAGGACTCAAATTGCTACATGAGAACATTAATTAAATCTTTTATAAAATGGTCACTTTTATTTAATTATTTAAAACCTTGATTGTTTTACAATAGTACAAGTAAAAAAGTCTTCCTCAAACCTTCAATAATCATCTTTATCTTTTTTTTTATAGAAGCGAATAGTCTAAATTATTTTAAATTAATTTAATCTATGGTAATAAGGTCCAACTTGAGAGTAAGAGAGCGGACTCACTATTCTAACTAACTGGCTGTGTAATAGATAAACACTTTTTTGCGTTTTGATTGACAAACTCTTTTTTTTCTTTTTCCCTTCATTATCCTCGCAAAATATTAGCTAAATGTTAGATGTTTTACTAGTTTCGAATTTGACTATCTTTTGCAATGATGATCCTTTCATGGGATTTCAGAAATACACGATTCAGATTGTCAACCTAAAATGCGAAATGGACTCTATAAGGTGTCACCCAAAATAGAATCTCATGGATTTTCGTGTAGATCCAAACTATCTATGATGTTTGATGAAGTGATACATTATCGCACTTTAACTTTTCCACGAAGAAACACATAATTTTATTGATCCAAAAGGCTTATGTAATAGCATAGGAACTACATAAAAACAAGTACGTATGTGAAACACTCTTTGCTTTCATTTCTTTAAAAGGGGAAGGAAAAAAAACTAATTGATACAGTGAGTTCTTACGACAGAATACACGAAGGGTTCTGTCAGACCTTTATTATTCCCAAACACACTTGTCTGCAAATAGAACAAAGCTAGAAAAAGAAGTGATACCGCTGGAACATGGAAACGAAGAACTTATTTGGACTGGTTCAAGTCGCTAAAAAGCCATGAAGCTTAGTAGTGTTTTGGAGGTGGAGGTGATCTGTAGTAATATTTGGGAGGTGGAGGTGACTTCACTGGAGGAGGAAGAGAGTTGTGGTGGTATGGAGGGGGAGGTGATGGAGATGGTGGTGGTGGTGACTTGTAGTGGTAAGGAGGTGGAGGGGAATGTGATGGTGGAGGTGGTGATTTGTAGTGGTAAGGAGGTGGAGGAGAGAATGATGGTGGAGGTGGTGACTTGTAGTTGTAAGGAGGTGGAGGAGAATATGATGGTGGAGGTGGTGACTTATGGACATAAGGAGGAGATTTGTGGACATAAGGAGGAGGTGGTGATTTAGAAGGGGGAGGTGGTGACTTGTAAGCATATGGTGGAGGTGGTGAGTGAGTGGGTGGTGGAGGAGATTTGTGCACATAAGGAGGAGGCGGCGAATGAGAAGGCGGTGGTGGAGACTTATAATAGGGTGGCGGGGGTGATGGTGATGGAGGTGGTGGATGTTTTACATACTTTGGTGGTGGGGGGGACTTGTAATGGGTTGGAGGGGTCTCTAAGTGCTTTGGTGGTGGAGGTGGTGAAGAATAAGTATAAGGCGTAGTGGCAAGCGCACTTGTGGCCAAGAGGCACAATGCCAAGGCATAAAACATTGCAGGGCAATGCCTCAGCTGTCCTGAGGTTCTCATTTCTGCCAGAAATTATAGTTCTTAGAACTTGTTTTGTGAGTGAGGTGGTTGGAAATGGTGAGAAAGCTATCCCTTTTATAGCAATCTTTGACATCATCTTTGAATAAGACGTGTTTGCTTATTCAGCATAATTGGCTGGATTGATGCTTTAAGTTTTCTACCAAATGTGACTTCGAAATTTTGAAATGCCAATCAGTTGAACTCGCTTGCTTCAACCAGTGATTTTGGGTTCCCACAAAGATTTTTCAACTTCGATCTTTCATGAAGGCCATGGACAAGTCAAATCGTGTGTTAGGTAAGTTTGTACGGCTGGAGAGTGAAAATGAAGAGGGTGCATGTAACTGAACACGTTGACCCACTATGAAAAATACTTGGCTGGATTATCAAAAGTGCTAATTAAAAGGTGTAAAGCTTTTCATCCATTAACATTAGAGTTTTCCTTCATAAAAATAAATAAGGTTAAATACCTTTTTGGTCATTGGGTTTTACACAGAAATTCAATTTGGAAAATGAGAATTTTTTTTAGTTAAATTGGTCACTGTGTTTTCAAAAATTTACAATATTTTATAGACATTTCGTTATCTACTGTTAACTTCTATTAAGTGCAGTTTTTATTTTTATATTTCCAGGAAGCACGTTCAAGTCTTTTTCCTCTAACTCACTAACTCAACTAGTTAGGTTATTGTGCTATAAGAGTTTTAAAAATGGGGGGAAATCTTGGGTTGAAATCGAAATGATGAGGTATAAGGTCACGAATTGGGTATTATATTGAAGCCTAAATCAATTGAGTGAGAACCGTATTGTGACTTCGGATGACAATGAGACACAATCAAGGTGATAGAGCACCAAAATATATTGGTAAGTTGTTGATTTCATTTTAATTTGGTTTGGCCTTTTGATTTTCCTTATACTTCACAATTTTGATTTCAACCCAAGATTTCCCCCAATTTGCTAAACTCTAATAACACAATATATCATAACTCGTTGAGTTAAAGGAAGAAGACTGAAGGTGATTCCTATAAAAATAAAAATAAAACTGCATTTAATGAAAGATAACGAAATGTCTATAAATTGTAAGCTTCAGGAAACACAGTGATCAATTTGGCTAAATTTTTTTCTCAGTAACCAAATTAAATTTTCGTGTAAAATCCAGTGACCAAAAAGGTATTTAACCCAAATAAATAAACACACATTCTACTTTGCCAATTGAATTTTGGGATTTGAATTGCCGAACTCGATTAAGGGCCCTTAATGTTTTTGCATTAGTTCATTAGTCCTTATATTACTATTACGAAATGTAATAATAAGAAATAGTGACAAAAAATAGTGGGAGAAACATATGGATAAATTTAGTTTGTTTTATTTTATTTTATTTTAGAATAACTGTTAATAACTATTTTACCGTCACTATATTATCTTTTTCTTTATTCAATGTAATGTAAATAGGAGCATAGTTGGCACTTTGTCAAAAGTGATCGACTCTTAAATAATAATGTAGATTATTACATCACTTCAAAAACTATAAAGAAGAGGTCGAGTTGCACCAAAGAATTAAAAAGAGAAAATTCTTTTACTAACCTAGTGTAATTAGCAATGCACTGGTGGTTTCGTTGCCGAATTTAGAGACATACAAGGTGGCTTAGTGGCTTAGCAACTTTTACTCACTTGCGTGTTTATATATTCTTGAGTTGTAATAATTTCATCAACTCTTGTAAGTTGGGTGTTTGTTTGTAGTCTAGGTTTTACTTGTAATTTCTACTTGTGAAAGTTTAAAAGTTGTAGTTGTGTTGGTAGTTTTACACGCAGCGATTCATGTCTGTCTTATGCAGCCTTGCAGCTTTTATGCATAATTTTTTTTGGCATTATGTGACCATTAATTAGTGGAGATACACCTTGTGCACTTGATGTTATCAGTACTGTGTGTTTCTATGTATCTGGATTAACCCTGCGTGCTTATTATGCTTCCATCTTTGTATTAACTTTTTGTGGATATTTGTACTGGCCCTGCACATTATGGTTTTTTACGCCTAATTTATGAATATAATTCTCCAAAATAAATAAATAAATAAATAAAACAGGTTTCACAACATCAAAAGTTTATTTATATAAATTTATAGTCAGTTAATTACATCAACTATATTACATATATTTAATAAAAAAATATATTAGACATTGAAAATTTTGAGAAATATCAAATTTTCTTTAATATTTTGGTCTCTCTAAATTAATTTTTTATTTTTACTTTCACTCAATCGCCCCTTGTGTGTAAGAGGGAAGAAAAATTTAAGGTCAAGCTTGCATTGTGCATGTTTGTACGTATTAGTCGGTGAGGAAGAAAAACAAATGCAAAGAAAGAAAAACAAGGGAAACTTAGCTAAACGTATATATCGACTGCAGATCGACTTTGTTTTCATTCTAACCAAAACAAAAAAGGGACTCTCGATTCCAACTAAGAGGTCACCGCCAAAGTTGACATTGTCGTGGATCGATGCTCATCTAACACAACCCTTAGATTATCCTCAACAAATAAGAAAACACAAAAATTTTAGACAATACAAAAACAACTCATTTTGTACACATATGCGTACAATTTAAAGAGTATCCTTCCCAAAGAAGAAAAAAAAAAAAAGGGGTCAATTTCAATTTGCCCTGTCCTATCTATTTGTTCCATAATCAACCTAACACAGTTGACATTGAAGGACAGGTACACAGGCATAGCCCACCCACTATTGAAGAGGAAATACTAAAACTGCTGGTTCAGACTCCTGATGACGTCATCATGACCAAAGGTACCGAAGGGACACCTTTCTCCGATTAAACGATAGCGTGCCGAAGGCCTTACTAAAGATTAAGCATGCAGAACCTAATATCAAGACACGTATCATCCCCACGGTGATTTGCCCAAAGTCCACATCCACTCCCTTTTGCCTATAAAATGGGAATAGTGCTAAGGTAAAAAGATAACTAATCTTTACCCACACCACACCCTTACTCTACCAAAATTACCTTTTACTCTATACTTTGCTGACTTAAGCATTAGAGAGTCTTTGCCCGGTACCACACCGGTGCGAAGGTCTTGACGATTACTTCTTCTGTTCACCATATGAAATTCATCTACTTCTGTTAACCATCTGCAGATTCATCCACATCGGTACATCACCCGTTTTAAGTTGAATATAGTTTTGGACATCAACAGATTGGTGTTGTATGTGGGAATTGAATTCTGAATCTCACTTCTCTGCTAGCTGTCATGGCTCCTTAACTTATCAGACCGTTTCATCTCTTTAGCCACCCACATTCTAATATGCCAAAAGAAACCAACCTTGACACTCAACATAACACTCATCACGTGCAATCTTCCAAGAGGAGGCCCCTTTCTGAAGCTAATATGCATGCCAAATTGGAGCATGATGGTCGTACCCTGAAGTGCAACTGGGAGGACACCAGATGACAATTGGCCCATCATAATGACGTTACTGAAGGCGTTGAGCAAACCATTCTGAATCAACCAGATATCTCTCTTCACAATGCTCAAGCTCAACCCTAGCTTGACAAAGGTAAAGGGCCCTTTTGCCCTAAAGCAATCAAATCACACCCCCTTCATATATCACCCATAAGGATCAACCTTATTCCCCCATTAAAGTCTATAAGGACTCGTCGAGACCATTTTACTATGCTTCGTCCAAAGCATATCAGCATCCCTGTTGATCTTGATGATCCACACGTTGCACATCTTAGCCCTCCTCCAAAGCCACAACGCCTTCTTGTCGAAGAACATGTGGGTTATTCCAAAGAATGGGAACTCTATAATCCAGAAGATTGGGAACCTTACCATTTAGAACCATACACAAGATTGGAAGCTTATCCTCCACCAGTTCATTAGAACTCCTCACCCTTCGATAGGGGATGAATTGCCTCATGTCGACCCGACTGTAAGGCTATTATTTGAGATGGTTCGTCGCTTGGAGGCAAAGGGCCAACGCACTCAACAACAAGTATGGACAAAGCCACTCGCAAGACCCTTCACTGCACGCATCCGAACCTACAAGCATGATAAGTACCTTTAGCACCTTCGCATAGCCTTTTACAGTGTTATAGAGGATTCATTGACTCATATCAATTTCTTTCCTTTCAGTTTTTGTTAGGGTGTAAGGGTCTTAGTGATGAAGACATGTGTCTACTCTTCCCCTCCACGCTTATCGGAATCGCCTTGAACTAGTTTTATAGGTTGAATTCATACACTAGACTATTTCGATTGTGTGAAGCAGATTTCATGATCTAGACTGATTGGTTGTATTCGATAGATGACTTGTATTTGATTTGGTAGGGTGAAGACGAAATTCTTCATGAGTATGCAACATGCTTCAATCACCAATAGACCTTGGAACACCTATGCCGAATCAATGAAGCAAGTAGTAGTTCATGCGAAAGCTGAATACTTCAACTCAAAGCTTGGCCTAACTGATTGACAACGTGCTACCTTCGATGACCTATTGCAAGGTTCAGCACCCACATACAATCTATACCCCCCCACCTACCACCATTAAACCAGAATTCTAATCGTTACTCTTTCACTTATGGTGCCAAGTGCAATCAAAACTTTAAATAGAAAGATGGTTACCAGCGGCCCTTCAGCAACGGCAAGCATGGAAAAGGTCATCAATTAACACAACAACTATCACTCTAGAGGGCATGCTTCACATAAAAACGGTGATCACACATCTCTGCATTTTGACCTCAAGCCCTGCTATGAAGTCTTCACTGCGTTGAACACAACTTGTGAGCAAGGTTTGGTCAATGAGGCACTTATGATCCCTAGGCCTCCTGCCAAAAGGCCTATTGACAAACTTGAACCAAATACTGGTGTCTTATGCTGATTCCACCAATTCAACGGACATGATATGAGGCACTCTCAATTTTAACGATTAGGTACCCCGACATTGAAATTTTTTTAGAATGTGGTTATGCAGTTAGGATGGCCGTTAAAAAAAACATGGGACCCATTTTTTTAGAATGTGGTTATGTGGTTATATGTTAA